GGTGCATATATTGTTGCAAATAAAATTATGCTACTGCGTCAGTGCACCATTTATCTCACTACATCATTCTGCAGCTTTTGATGTCTCATCAAAAACATTTTCACGTTATTATTTTAACAAACAGATTATAATTAAAAATTATTTATAACCATATTTGCCTTAAATGTATTTTGCATTGTGATGTATTACAAATAAAAAAAACTGTCGCTAATAGTGAACCTAATATACATAGATGTGACGCGCATAGCGATATTTTCAATATTTTTCTAAAATATCGTAAAAAATTATTTTCAAAAAATAATTATATAAATATATGTATATTAATTTTTTTGTTTTTTTTACTTTCCCGTTATGTTTTTTTACTCTCTAATTTTTGCTTTTACCTTTTCCGATTTTATTGAGCTTTGAATTATATAATAATAAAACTATTCTCCAGACAAAAAATAAGAGATACGTATTATTTTTATTTAAAAAATTATCGGAGGAGGACACTTTCAGTGTTTCCTTGTTAGAAAAAAATCTTAAAATTAGAACTGAGGATGTGTATTAAAAATCTGAGATAATTTCCGTCTCTTAATATTTCGACAGCATTCGCTCGAAATAGTAATCGATATCGTTTCAAAGAAATCATTCAATCCTTTAACGTACGATTGAGCATTTATAGAAAAGTTATTTTCTATTTTTATGCACACTGTTAATCGGTAATACGTAAAACTCATTAAGATTGGATAAAAAAGAAAAGAGATTGGATACATTGCCTCGGTCTGGTTATCGTTTGCATTTCTGCAAAAACGAATAAATGTACGTGTACATCGAGCGTAAAGTTCTTGCTAATACCTTAAGTGAAATGTAGTCTATCGTTTTCACTTCTTGCCTCTTGCCCAAGAAACCGAATTACAGAGGGTGGAAGCAGTCGTGGCGAAATTAAGATTAAGCAGAAGAACGGTGAGAGAATAAACTGGCGCAGGAATTTGCGGCGTAGTCCTTATAGACTCCTCTCTAAGGACAGCTAAGCAAGCAAGTATAACTGGTTGCAGAAACGGTACGTTTATAGAGACAGCGAAATGGCTCGGGCCAGCTCTGTACGATAAGTGCTCGTGGAATCGAGCGAGCGAAAACACATAAGGACTACGGTGTGAGAGGGTAACAACGGTTGCTCGAACGGCTCGTCGAGACATTCCTCGTGCTCTTGAATCGTTCCCTTTCACCGCGATCTACCGTATCTCTCTCGCTGGCGAACCGATAGCTCAATTAGTCACGAGAACGAACTCGCTTTTCCGGCTATCTCTTTTCCCCACCTTCGGCGGTTGGCGGTGTCGGCTGGTCATGAGAGAAATGGCCGGGGCGAGTCCTTAGGTTTAGGAAGGAAGGGCGGAAGTCGATAAGAGGCAAAGTGGAATCGGGAAAGCGGCGTTGTGGAAGCGCGTAAGCGAAAGATGGAAGAGGGAAAGATCGGTGGAGAGGTAGGACGACGAGCTGGGGAAAAGAACGGGACGAATGAGGGACGGGATGTGTTGGAGAATGCGCACGCGAACGGGAGAGGTTTTACCGCGAAAGTTTCTCGAGGGAACGAACGGTACGTCCGTTCTACCAGCGCGAGCGAGCAAACCAACCCCCATCGATCGATAGATCCGGAACCGGCGCGGCTCGTTTCCTTCGCCTTCTTTTTTCCCCTCTCTTTCTCTCTTTTTACTAAGTCCCCGCTCGGGGGACTGTACTTCTCGGTGGAAGCCTAAAGTTGCAGCTTGAGAGAAGAACACGGTGTAGTAGATCTAGTAGTATACTGCGAGCGAATCACGAGTTAACGAGTGAATCGAGTTAGAGGTTTGAGATGCGGAAGTTGCTGAAAGTCTTATTGGAAAATAAGAAGATACGACTACGACGCATGTTGTTGAGTATCGGGAGGAGAGTTTTCGGAAGGAGCTAATTAAACCAGCTGTCTCAAATGTACGTGTGTGTATAATAAAAAAAAAAAGGTTGTAACGCGCGCGCGAGACGATGATATTTAAATCGGAACTTTCCACTTTGCGAGCGCATTCTCGACCCAGCGGAAAGCGATTGAACGGCGTTCGTCGGAATTCGTAGATTTCGGACTGACGCTACGCGGGCGCGCGCATTGACAAGCACTAAATCCAGATTGAAGTACACGAGGATAGATAACGCAAAAAGCTTTCAGTAGTTTTATGACACCTACGGTGCCGTGCAATTTGCGATCGCGAAAGCCATGCCGATTCGCGCAGCGTGACTTCGTTCCGCGTCAATAACGGGTAACCGAGATATTTTCGGAATTCCCGATGATTTCCACGGTCAGAATATTTGAACGCACGGAGAGAAAGAGAGAGAGAGAGAGAGAAGGAGAGAACGGTAACTATATCACCGTTGGTTCTTTTATTCGCGATGGAACGATTTGTATCAGACGCACGACAGCGGAGGAACCGCGAGACGAGCCCGTTTATTTCATGCCGCCACAATACCACCGCACGCATATGCGTGCGGGAAAAAATGCCGATTAATCCGAACGCAAGAAGTAAGCGGTGCGGTAGAGAACCCGGGCGTACGAAACATGCTCCGGCGTGTTTGCTCAGCATCGGATTTTTATCCGGCCAATAGCGATGCCTCCGCCGAATAACGCACGGCCGTCGTTTGTGCGCGCCGTTCCATCAGCACGTGAAATTCAACCGCGCCCGCAATTGCGAATTTCACCGGGGCTAACACATACACACCTTGCTTACATACGCGCTCTGAATATTACGTTTTTTTTTTTTTTTTT